AACTCTTTCACAGTCTCAGTTCTTCTGCTTCTGCTCCGTATCCTGTATCTCATCATTCTCCCCTTCATTCCTAGCCTACTCACACAATCCTTTTTTTTCTACACCATGTTCAGCACCATTTAGTACACAATTCAGACAGCGTGTCTGCTGCTCCCCCTTGTGACTGGCACTTTGCCATACAAAATCTATTAAAGGATATCAAACAGATTAAGGAAATGAGCCCTAATAACAGAGCTACACCATGAAAAATTACAGAGAGTTGTCAGCTGTAGGTAATTGGAATATACAGGGGCAATATCCTGTATCATACATACATATTCCCCCACACTTAACCTCCTCACCTCACTAATTTTCTGAGCAACACCTACACATAGAACTTCTAGCCTGTGCTGGCAGGAGCTTTCATTCCTGATGGAAACATCCTGGCCAAAATGGACAGATATCAAAGACAAGGGCCAACTGGAAAAAATAGCTACTGCTCCTTCAGGTTGAGCCTAAAGAGACAAGCAACTTATCATCCTTAGGTACCAGTAATGGGAAGATGACTTTTCCAGCAAACAAAATTATAGTCAGGAGTAGGTATGCCTCCTTTGCGAATGACAGTTAACAGTGCAGGAAGGACTCAATTCTCTTCTAAGCTTCCTTTGGGTGCAAAGATTAACAACCACGGACAGCTCAGCCATGGAGGTGTTTTTTAACTGGCAGCTGAGAGTCATTCTACATTTTCCACTGTCCTTAATTATGGCAGTGATGGCTTCTCTAGGAAATTGCTACCAAACTTAAATGACAAATTTGAGTGAGTGTTACAACTGCAGCTATGAAGCAGCATCTTACTATGTTAATTTAGCAATTTTGTTTCCAAGAAAAGCCACTTAGGGAACAAGTTAGATACTTCATTGTAATTGTTAGTGAACTGGCACATCAGACTAAATTAAATCTCTTAGCAAAGGCTCAGTAATAGAGAGTTGCCAATGCTTTCTGATCAGCTAAGTCCTTCCTGCACAAAGGAATTACCGAGGAAGTGGTCAAGGCTTCTCCACCTCCTCCCCATTTGTTTGTTGGAATGACTGCCTGCTATGCTTTTGTCATCTATCTTGTGCAAAAGCTAGACTGTTGGCTTATCACTCAAATTTCAGCAAGAAAGACAAGTAGCCTGCTTTTCATCTCAGCCAGCCAATAGTTAAAAATTTCCATCAGTACATCTGTAGGAATCATTTCACACAAACAACACACATTTTTAAAGGGCAGTTACCAGACAGGAAGATAAACCAACAGAATATTTTCTTAGCCAAAAGGAATTGTTGCTGGTGCCTATTGGGAATAAGAACAACACGAATGTAATAGAAATCTGACAGTAGCACATAAAATAATGTCAATGTGCAATCTGAAGAAAACTAGCAATTGAAAGGAATGATACTAGGCTAGAAGAAGATGCCTTAGGAGTCCCACAAGCATGTGAAAATGATGAATTATGGGTTATCACCTACTACAGGTAAAGATCATCAAGCATTTTGGGCAGCATCAGGCAGCCAACACTCAAGCTAGCTCAATTTGAAAGACAGGACTTGTGACTACCAACTTATATTCATTACCAAGTTGCACTTGTTTTTTGGAGGAGAAGGGAACTAGGGGATAGAAGGCAACAATCCAACTAAAGTTTATATTTATGAGATCTGCTGCTTTCTCAGGCCCAGACACCCAGCACTCAAAACTATGCCATAGTTAATTTATAATATCAAAAGTACTGGTTTAGCTGTAAAAAACCCCCAACTAACCAACCAAACAAAAAAGCAGGTAAATGAGAAGGGAACTAATTACCCTATGGTTAAAAATACCAAAGTGTAGTAAAAGCAAATGAAAATGAACAGTTGTTTTAGATTACTATTTCTGCCAGCCTTTGGATGTTTTAAGATATTAGCACAGTTCTCATGTCTACTAGAGGTTGCGAATCCAAGATGGCAGATGTTGGGTTTATCACATATTTGATGGTTAACTAAAATGGAATTTTTTTTGATAAACCAAATATCTTTTCTGCAATTAACTATGTCTCAGGTATGAAATGTCAAAAAAGTAGGAATATCCTGAATGAAATTTGTTTTTCATAGCAGGTAAACATGGATGCAGATGATTACCTGGACAAATTTTTATCAGGAGCATTATCTTATAAATGTTATAGTTATTGTCTTGTAGCTAATGTCTGTGCAGAAAAATCCTGGGGAAGTCTGCCTAGAACATTGTGTGCACTGTAACAATTAGGACATGTTGCACTCTCCTTCGTTTTAGATGACTGCTACTCTTCTGATTGCAGCAGAACACAACTTACTCATCCTCAAAAAGGATTAATTAAAATTTCTGGTAGCTTGTCCATTGATTTCAATGGATTTCAGTTCAAATCCTGCCTGGATTTGGAAGCACAGACCCAAGCAGTAATCTAAAAGTGTAAGAAGGTTTCTCATAATCTAAAGCCAAGGCACAAGATGAGAAGACAAAATGTAAAAATCATGAGTGGCTTTGGAATCTTTTTGTCTATGAATGTCGATACGACAACACAGACAAGAAAAATAATAATCACTTATTGTGTCACTTTGGAATAGGATCTACTAATTTATACTTGCTTGCCTACAGAATAACTCATTCTCTGTCAGTGTAAATTAAACTGATTATATAAATTCTAAGCCCCACAGCAACAACTAATGTCCCAACAATACCTCAAAATCTACAAAACCTAATAACACAAAGTGGTTTTTTTCCTTTTTTCCTACAGTCCTTCCATAAAAATGGCTATTACTGCCTATGTGATTTCCCATACACAAAATGGTCTCTGAATTCATCCTGAGCCATCTTTATATGAGGTAGAAATGCAGAGAAGGAGTAGATGACAAGCCATAGTACATCTTTTACTTATTGAAATTCCTTTATAAGGTATAAATGACACAAGGAGGGGAGCAATACTGGAAAATTCTGGAAATATTTTCTCTGCACATGTAGGCTGGAATTGGTGTGGTTTGACTTTCTAACTGTATTTAAAACCTGTAATAGACAGGGACAGGGGCAGTTAGCAGGCATGAAGACTGGAGGACATTTATGATCACTGGCATACCCCAATAATCTTGTCAAAGATAATCAGATAACTGGACATGTACTGTGAAAGAGAGTGAAAGTGTACAGGCCATAATGATTGTTTGGCAACAAGTTTGCTTCTTCCAGAATTAGTACTAATCCCCATGGCTGATGACAAAGTGTTGAAACTGATCCAGACATTCTCCTAGAAATCTGGCAAATTCTCACTGGAAATTATTTTCTCATTGGTAAAATATTCAAGCTGGTTTTCATACTCACCCCAGTTTCCTACCTGCTTCAGGTGTTTTCATATAATATAACAAACAAAATCAAGCAAAACAAAACCAGAAGGAAACACAGAAAATAATATTTTGTTAGTTTCCTTCTGACCTCCCTGGTTATTCCTGAGCTGCTTCTAAATCATTACTATTCTAATTCTGATTTTAGAAAAGCAACGGCTTGGAAACACAGTGTAGAATATCAGTGTTACCAATGACTTCAGAAGGGCAGATCTTCATTCAGATTCAGTTTCCAGAATAAACACAGATACACTGAATACTTCCATGGAAATTTCTTGATTTAAATTGCTGATCCATTAACTGCTACATTAACTCACAGTCAGCATGGAATGAATCATGAATAAAAGGATTTTTTAATGTACCCTGGGAACCCTCTGGATCTGAAGCAAAACATTAATGTAAAAATCATTTCCTTGTATTGTTTTGGAAAACATTAGGATGTCAGATTAAAGGATATGTAGTTAGTTATTCAGTGTGCTATATCAAGTAACAGAATATGGGCACACATAGAGCCAAAATCACCCTGGTTTTATGGAAGTATAAAAATTCCTTTAACTGTGATTCTGGCTGATACTTATCAGTATTCCCCTAATACTGGAGGAAATTTAGAATAGTGCTACCATTTAATTAACATAATTAATGATTCTGTAAGTCATTATTTGGTCATCATTATATAAAACAAAATCATGTAATCAGAGAAGTTGGGGAAAAATATGTTAATTCAGTGTTTAGCCAAGAAATCAAAGCAGTAGTCTTGCTAAGAAAAATGTGAAAATACAATATGGAGTATATAAGATACAAAATTTCTGTCTCCCTTGTTCCTTGCATATATAACAGAGATTGAAAGACAGAAAACAAGATCTGTTTTTCTTTTACTGTCTCGTTGCCTTCCTGATGTGCTTTTTCCTAAGCTTTTAAACCGTAATTAGAGTAAAATTTTAAATTCTTGTTTGCATGTTCTTCTAAAATTACCATACATGGATTGCCAATACAATTATAGAGCCGCAAAAAGAATGCTATCCTACCTGACATCACAGGAACTGAAAAGTCAAGTGAGATGTTTTCATGCTTTATATATCTATTTCTCTTGGTGCTTTTCTCATTTCTACATTACCCAAGGAAATGCTCATAAGGCTCCTCTCTCCATCTCTGTATGAATTTGTTGTGGTCTGGGGCTCTTTGGCAGATGTTCCAAAATCAGCCTGTGTTTACTGAAATGGATGCACGTGGACTTATCAAGTTCCTCCAGCTTTTCAATAGATGAGAAATAATCCTGACAGCTTGACTGTAAACTTTTTAATTAGAGATAAACCCTGTATTATGTAGCAGAGTAACAGAGGATCCAGCTGTATTGTTGCCTTTTCAATCAGGTTGTGTAATAACAGGATTAACTCTTTGATAATTGCTCTACTGATATACATTTGGTTAACCAGGTGTCCCACAGCTTTAAAATAATATTCAATGGACCTTTTTCCAGCTTTCATAGGGGCTGAACCACTCACAAAGCACAATGCCATCAGAAACCCAGGAAGATAAATATCTCTGCTCTTATCCTTCTCCCAAACCTAAGCTTTGGTTGAGTTTAGATACATCCTGATCTCTGAAGGTTTCTTATGCACAGGTTTTTGCTTTCTTTTACAGATACATGGCCATTATTGACCCCTTGAAACCTAGGCTCTCTGCAACTGCTACAAAGGTGGTCATTGGGAGCATATGGACTTTGGCTTTCTTGTTGGCCTTTCCCCAATGCCTATACTCCATAACCAAGGTGATGCCTGGGAGAACTCTTTGCTATGTAGCGTGGCCTGGTGGTCCAAAACAGCACTTTACGTAAGTTTTTGTTCTTTTAAACTTGTGCGCGGTGGTGTCTACACTTGCAATGGACTTGGCAAAAGTTGTAGAGTATCATGCAGATACTCTGCATGCAGAATAACTAACAGAACTGATCACTGAGAAATGCAGAACAAGTTTTAGGATGTAGAAAGATAGAATTATTTTAAGTGATAAGTGGAATACCTTTATTCTCTTCCGCTTCTATGTGTTCCTCATCCCATGCTGCATGTTTGCCATCACTGCTTCACTTAAGATGGCTACTTCTACACAGACAGAAATAGTAAGAAATGGGGATAGTGTAGGCAATTCAAAGCAACCTTCCTTTTCATCCTAGATAGGAAAAAATGTATTTCCAGCCTCTCCTTGTCCAAATCAGTTTTTTTCATCTGGATCTCTTTGTGAGAGGGCTGGATTTTCCCACTTCATTCTGTTACATTATCACAATTACTTATAGCAGTCCAAATAAGAAAATTGTAAAAACTGTAACTGGTTCCAGTTTCTGAAAGTGTAGAATAACAGTCAGTTAAATTGAATCTATCCTATTTTACCTCTGGCAGAATTAGGAGTAAGTGGTTACCTAGCCATAGAAACATTATCTGCCCTTTCATGTCATTACTGGCATTTAAGATGAACTCTGTGTTCAAGGCTGAAAGCCTGCGTGATCATCCAGAATCAAATTTTACTTTTTGCCCTCTTTCAGGCATGTGAAAGGGCCCACCCCGGTCACATATATAATTTGTATCACCTTAGGAGGAACACAGAAATATTTCTCTTTAGGGCAGGAAGATCACTCTCAGTGATGGCTAGGGATTCTTCATTGATCGTTCACTAGGATTTTATCTGAGGATGGCATTCAACCAGGAAGCAAGAGTAGTTACCATTTTTTCCCTAGTGCTTATATCAGCAGAGATGACTATGTTGCACATAGGCAGCAGTATTTCCTACGTGCAGCAGATCTGCAATATGGAATACTGTCCTGGTTTTTGCTGGGATAGAGTTAATTTTCTTTCTAGTAGCTGGTGCAGCGCTGTCTCGGCTCTAGTCTGAGAACAATGCTGGTAACGCACCAATGTTTTAGCTGTTGCTAACTAGTACTTACCCTGATCAAGGACTTTTCAGTCTCTCATGCTCTGCCAGTGAGGAGGGGCACAAGAAGCTGGAAGGAAGCAGAGACAGGACACTTGACCCAAACTAGCCAAAGGGGTATTCCATACCACAGCACTTCATTCCCAGTGTATAAACTGGGTGAGCTGGCCAGAAGTGAGTGAGTGGCTTGTGTAGTTAAACCAGCTGTGGTTAAACCACAAGTACGTTGGATAACACGTTGCATACCATTTAAATACTTATTTTCCTCTTTCATTTATGGTCCAGAGCACAAAATGCCTACCTTGTCCTTAGGATACCTGGCTGTGCAATAATTAAAAATCAATTCAGCTGGTTATGGACAAACATATCTTATTTTTCAGTCACTAATTATGATAACTTTAGAGTCCTTCTTAATTATGATAACTTTAGAGTCCTTCTTAATTTATGATAGTGCAAATTCAAAATCAGCTCTAGAAACCCCATAAAGCTCTTGCATTAAAATGTAAACAAGTTTGCAGTGCAATTCAAGACTTTCAAAAAGTCAGTGAAATCACCGGCAACTAGCCAGTCAATATAAAACATGCCTTGTGCTACTCTTGTCTTCTAGCAGCCCATTCCATTGGCATGGCTCCTCTGAAAGCACTTATCAGCTTTATGTTTTTTATTGCAGGTATCATGTTATTGTGATTGTCCTGGTCTACTGCTTTCCACTGCTTGTCATGGGCATTACTTATTCCATAGTGGGAATTACACTCTGGGGAGGAGAAATACCAGGCGACACATCCGACAAATATCAGGAGCAGCTCAAAGCTAAGAGAAAGGTACTGTTCCATTAAACTCACTAAGTTTTGATGAGAAAATGAACATGAGCCGGCAGTGTGCGCTCGCAGCCCAGAAAGCCAACCGTATCCTGGGTTGCATCAAAAGGAGCGTGACCAGCAGGTCGAAGGAGGTGATCCTGCCCCTCTACTCTGCTCTTGTGAGACCTCCCCTGGAGTATTGTGTGCAGTTCTGGTGTCCTCAACATCAAAAGGACATGGAACTGTTGGGACAAGTCCAGAGGAGGGCCACGAGAATGACTGGGGGACTGGAGCACCTCCCGTATGAAGACAGGCTGAGAAAGTTGGGGCTGTTCAGCCTGGAGAAGAGAAGGCTGCGTGGAGACCTCATAGCAGCCTTCCAGTATCTGAAGGGGGCCTATAGGGATGCTGGGGAGGGACTCTTCATTAGAAACTGTAGTGATAGGACAAGGGGTAATGGGTTAAAACTTAAACAGGGGAAGTTTAGATTGGATATAAGGAGGAAATTCTTTCCTGTTAGGGTGGTGAGGCACTGGAATGGGGTGCCCAGGGAGGTTGTGAATGCTCCATCCCTGGCAGTGTTCAAGACCAGGTTGGACGAGGCCTTGGGTGATATGGTTTAGTGTGAGGTGCCCCTGCCCATGGCGGGGGGTTGGAACTGGATGATCTTAAGGTCCTTTCCAACCCTAACTATTCTATGATTCTATGATTCTACAAGTGAACCCTGCTAACATCATCTGCAATTGTGTTGCAAAGTATCACAATGTATACCTTCAGAAACACCAAGTCACTTGAAATAAGAGTAATGAGAAATCTACTTTTATGAAAAAAAAATTGATTAAGTTTGACAAATTGCCTTCTATGTTCATTAGCTGGTAGGCTTTTTTGTAACCTTTGTTCACCATTAAGTAAAGGTTTGATTTTAACTTTTTACTCCACATATAGCAGTATATACTGTGTCTGATATGTGGAAACTAAGCCCAAATATTTAGTCTTTACAGAGCTAAAATACTGATTTTTGAACAATGGACTACTGAACATTTAGCTCCTCTTCAGCCAGGGTCTCATCCTACTGAAAGGAAAGTGAATCTTTCATTTTCTGTAATCTGCAATTTTCAGTAGATTAAAGCCCATTCAGCTTCGAGATGAGTGCTGATTGGCCTGCTTATATTAGGTATTTTAGGTTTTAAATCAATAACTTTTGGTGGGAGATAGAAATTGTTTTTAACCAATTACTTTCTTTTTCACTGTAAGTCTTGCCTAATCTAACAAGACTGTGGATTGCTTATGAACTGATTATTTGACTATTTCCAGTTCAATTTTCATGATGTTACAGTGCCATTAAAGTTTCTTTCTTATAATGTTCTTTTTCTTAAAACAACTTTCTTCTTTAATAAGACAGCCCTTCTGGTTTTTATTCTTGACAATTTTTCACACTAAAAACCATTTAACCTTTCATATTTGAAAAAATGCAATGTGAACATGGACTTCTAACTCACAATGATGAACACATTTTCAGTTGCTCAGTTTGCTTCCTGACACTGTGAATATGTTTGAACAGTGGTATAGGCTAAGATGCTGTAGCAATAGCAGACTGCAGCATATTGGGTTCTGAGACAATAGGGATCTTCTGCAAATACTGGAGGACACTGATGTTTTAATTGCTTACAGGACACTGCCAGCAACATTAAAGTGTTTTTACCCACATATTACACAGAAAAAGTTGTTACAGCAGAGGATATATGAAGGGAAAGATTAGGATCATTTCTCATTCATACAACTTCAGATTCGTAAGAGGCAAGCGCAAAATTTTTATGGCAAGTTTCAGTTGTCAGAATGGTAGACATGCCTAGACAACTTTGCAGTATGATGTGCAATGAGTCCTATGAAACCAAAGTTGTTATTTATTTTTGCTTTTACATAGCTTTTTTAAGAGGACAAAATGCTAGCCTCTCTTAAGTAAAATGCAGTTGGACTAGAATTATCACCACTATTGTTTGTAACAGCTTAAAGATTATTTAGAATGTGAACAGATAGAAAATGATGAAAAGTCAGAATGATTTTTCATGTGCTTTACATATTTGTCCCAAAATGAAATTATTGGACTAATTTCCAGAAATTCTAAAGCATTTTAAAAGATCAGCATTTTCTCTTTAACATAATACATAGAAGTCCAACATTATCATTATAGTCTTTGCCATGCCTGTTGTCACTTACCCGAAAGTGTATTTTCAAAGTTACAATATTACATTTCCTACAGAGCATAAGCAGGAAAAGATTTCACTCATCAATTAAGTGTGCTAGCACCAATAGTGTCCTTCCAGTCAGTGAAGAACTGTCAAGAGACAAGGAGTAGCATCCTTAATTAAAGGATGAGAGTACTGGAATGCATGCCTTCAACACATGGAACAAGGGGATTAAATTATGGGCAGATATATTGTAACTGCATCAGTGACTTTATTGGTAGAGCTACATGACAGCTCTTCAGTTCCACTGCTGTGCTCTCCAGCAGGATTTATGAAATACCCGGTATTTGGAAAGATGATAGACTGGAATCCAAATAAAGCTATAATCCATCCTGCCTCTGATAATAGAGCTATTTCTTTTCCTTTATTCAAACAAAGAAATCATCTGCGGTTTTTTGCTATTTTGCATGCAGATATCAAGACATATGGAAAGTCTGTGGACCTGTAATGAAGGAGAAATACAAAATAGCTGACTGCATGTTTCATTTTCTTCAATGATACAGTACAGAGGATGTTCGGTTAGGATTGTTTGAAATGGTATATAATGTTAGAGAAGGCAGCGAACGGAAGAAAAGAAGCAACAATATTTTCCAATAGATTTGAAGCTTGAGAAAGTTGTTAGTAGTTTGATAGGCAGTCTCATTTCTCCTTATGTGTGACTCCATATGTACCCTGAATCCTTCTGAAACCAACATCAAAGAGGAAAGGATTCAAAGAATTTCACCATACACACTACAGGTTGGGCAACGCAAAGTCATACTTAATATTTTTAAGGGTCAAAGACTTGAAATTTTTTAGAGATTCAGGACTGCCAGAGACTAATACCAATACCTTTTTATTTTTTGTGAAAGATCAAAAGTCTCAGGGACTGACCCACTTAAAGTTGCCTGACAAACTTCTGAACTTTCACTACATGTGGGGACTTTGCAGGCATTAACCCTTCTTAAAGCTCCTGGCATGAGACTCACTGATGTCCAGCTGAACATCATTTATTCTCCTTCAGTTCTAATTTTCAATTGTAGTTTCAATACTGTCATATGTGACTAAGTTTACATAGGTGGTTTATAACATTACAATCAGATTTTACTAGGCCATAGTGTTTTTTATATTCACTGCAAATAATTAGACTTGCTCACAGATGTTGTTTCCACCTTCTCTTTTTATTAATAACTAATCTGTTCCAATCCCTCTTCCAACTTTACTTACCCTATAAGAGGGAATAATCATGTACTGTAAATAAAATCAATCAGTTATTGTTGTCTTTGTCAAGAGATGCAGTTCTGATACAACTGTTTTCTGAAACATGTGCACATGTTCTGAAACAGTGTGCACATGCCATTGCCTTGCCCCAAAATGAAGAATACAGAAGAACAGAAAATACTCTTTCAACTTCTATTTCTTTTCTTTACAGTTCCCCTTACCTCTATTAACTTTATGATAATATATCACTGTGCACCTTTTTCAGCAATTTTCATTCCTCCATACATAAGCCTCTGTCAGCTTGAGTGTCATTTCAACTTCTTACTCTGATAATGATTTATTAAAGGCCACATTTTTCTAATGTTAAAATTGTTTTTCAAATTTGCTTGTAAAAACAGAAAAAAACCCTGTACGTACTCTAGTGACTCACAGTATTACAGGACTCACCAAGGAGATGGTCAAGGTTTACAGCCTAAGTGCATAAGGCAGTTTTCAAAGTTTTTTATATATATATATATATATATATATATATATATATATATTTTTTTTTTTTTTTTTGACAGCAGAAGTAGACATCCCATATCCATTTACCGTCAAATGCATCTATCTAATCAGTTAATATATGTTAGTATATGCAACACAGTGGAGGAGAAAATGAAAAAGTAGATAACTTTAGACTTCCATCTGAAAAGAAAATACTATTCAAAACACTATGGGACTGTAGGAATAATGATATCATGAGAGCCACTTTTGAATATGAATTTGAAATATCACACAGTGTGAGAAGCCAAATCAAGTAAGACGGCAGGACATGCTTTTCCAAGCCAGGGTCAGAACAGTCATATGTAAATTCAAAAATCACTCAAAATTACTGTGTGAAAAAAGCTTTTACTAGATAAACAGAAATATCCAGGTGAACTCTTCCAGAACTACAAGTAAATATTACAAAAAAGGCATCCAAACAGTTTTAGATAATTTTCTGAAATACTTACATAAAACAATTTCCCTCTTTCATAGGTTATGGAAGTAAGGAACAGGACAGGATATGAGCAAATGATCTCTCTAAGAACTGCTGCATGAACAGTTCACATGTGGTTACTCACATGTATTTTTCTCTTAACATTATCTTATTCCCAGCACAAAGACCAGCATTTCAATCTCCAATAACTTACATATGCTATATTTCATTTTCAAAATGGCATTAATGAGTCAAACTGTTTAATATAACAGAAAGTCAATATAACTTGACTATCCTAAATTCTATTAAAAACACGAGCTGCAATCCACTACTCTACATAGCTTTGTGCTACAGACTTCAAGGGACAGCCAAATCTTCACAGCTGATGCCCTAGTCTATACTGAATCACCACCTATGCATGTATTTTAAAAGTCAGACAGTAATAAACACAGCATTTTTTGGCCTTTATTCAGGTAATGGTCTACTAAGGCTGCACATCTGAATATACACTTCTCCATGTTATGTATGCAAAGAGAACCAAACCCTGGAGCACACAGATACAGAGGGAAAGCATCTGGTTTGCAGTTCATCCAGATCAGCCATGTAACAGCAGACTATGGAAAAGACTTACATTGTCACAGACCTTGCCCATCACTTGATTATTCATGGCATATGAATATTTCTACCTTGTAGATTCATTTGTGCTTGTGTTTCATGGACAAAACTGACTGCTACGGTGATGTAGGAGCACTTTGCTTACATATCGACAAGGTGCCTGCTCCAGAACTGTTCAATCATACACAGAGGCACATGTGCTCCCCTCAGGAAGGTACCCCTTCCCTTTGATTTGGGGAATTAAGCCCTATTTTGTTAGTCCTTAGTTCAGTAAATCCCAGATTTTTTCCAAGTATGCTCTTTCCCACAACAGTGTAAAACAATCCCCAGAGCTAGCTCAGTACCAATCCAGCAGTTTTTATCTCCTCTGTGATACATTAAATGAGGACAGTCTCAAGACTGTCACTGTCAGAGCTGTGTTCCATGCAACATTAGAAAAGCATCATTTTAAAAAGCCAGTAGCTAAGACTGCTCATGAAAAATGTCACTATTGTTTTGATTTTGGGGGGATCCCACATTTTAGCATTTGTAAGACAGCAATCTGATTCAAATCTACTTCATACTAGAACAGAATATCTTTTTCAACATTACAGCTTAAATAACAAAGTAAGTGATTGTGGATTCAGTCTGTAGCCAGGGATTATGCAAACTGAAATGAAAAGTAGTTTCTTTATCTCAAGTAACTGAGAAAAAGAAAGTATAAATTGGAAGAATAAAATTATTTGTTGAGCATTGGAATTGATAAGTTCCTTACCTGACTGAAAGACTTCCAAGCTGTTTGATACTTTGTCATTCTAAATGTGCATCTCTTTCAGCTATTAAGAATCTATCTTTTCTCTGGGCTAAAATAGCACAGAAAATCCTTGAGCTTGCCAAAATTATATGAAAACCGGCAGCACCTGGCATCTCAGAAATCAGTCCTTTCTCCATACTAGTACAGACCTTTGAATCTTAATTTTCTTGCAAAAGATTGTTTACTCCAAATAAACATTGTGGAGAAGCAGAAGACATAGTGATGTTTCCCTTCTCTCTGGTGCTTAGTGTACAAGTGCCATGCATGTCCCCAGGATTAGGAAGTGGATTTACTGATTGCATCCTTACAATGAAAGAATGCTTCTTACTCAGGAAGGGTTTAAAGAAATGGGCAAGACTACAAAGCACATAAATCAATTTTTTTCATAGACATAGTTTTTCTTAGACATAGGCAGAAGTACATCAATATCAGCAGAACATGTTGATGAAAATAAAAACCACTTTGATTTTCCATCATATGCCAAATCTAGCCTCAAGACTCACCTAAAGGTTGCACGACTAAGAGACTCAGTACAACTCATTTTAACCAAAGTCCCGGAACAGAGGAAAAACTCTTTCCTCTGGCCATGCTGCTCGTAATACACAAAAGGAGGCTGAGCGGAACACCAGAGGAAAATGGTGCCACTGGGATACCGATAGATGATGTTCACTGTAATCATAAATTTTTGAAAACTCCATGGTAAAATGATGGCAGAAACAGAGTCAGACATTAAGCACTACTGAATTCCGTAATTTTCTGGTTTGCTTGCTTTAGAAATATCTCGTAACCCCCAAAAGCAAACCCTTAGTAATGAATTCTATGCAACACAGAGGAGAAAGCATTTGAAAAATGGTGATATCTCAAAAAAAAAAACAAAAAACAGAACAGGCATACTAAAAAGAAATAAAATCAAAGAACTTTGTATTGTCAGAGCTACAGGTCTATGTCCTCCACCCCCCATAAAAACAAAACAAAGCAAAACAAAAACCAAAACAAAAACAAAAACTATTGAGGAGCTCTTTTAAACTCTGCAGCTGAACAAGCAGTTCTGCAGCAAGAGTCATTGGAGATTTTTTAGTGAAATATCACAGTGTACTGGGAAAAGACAATAAAGCTTTTGCAGCAAATTTGTACTTGGCCTTTTTCACTTATTTTCCCTGTGTCCTGATTGAGCTTAATAATTTACTGGCATTCATACATCAGGATTTATACCAAGTAAAATAAAGGTGCCCTGGGTTTATAGACCTTGAAGGCAGTTTCTGTTCATGGTTATCGATACCATCCAGAAATGAAACTTAATGGAAGGATTAGAGGTACAGACAAGAACTGCAAGAACTGTAAGGTATGGCGTTGCACAGTATGTGTGCCTGTCTCTGAAAGAGGAAAATAAATTGGGAATAATCTTCGTCCTTTTCATTTTCCTCTTATTCTTTTCCTCTATTTCTGCCAACATATATTCATTCTTAGTGGATGAAACAAAGACAGACTAGTGCTTTTTCATTCCTCTCATTACTTCTGTGGTTAAGTTCAAATTTAACTGTAACTGCCCTGTGTTTCAAATGATTTTATGCCACACAGACTTGCAACATCACACTTACCTTTTTCTTATAATATATCAGTGAGTGCATTGTACTTTCCGTAACAACCTGTTTTCTGGAAAAAATAGCACTTTTTTGTTCCAGGAAAACACACTTTACACATTCAACGCTACAGAACTGATGGACAGGGGTAGAGCAGTTGATGTCATCTACCTGGACTTATGCAAAGCATTCAACACTGTCCCACACAACATCCTTGTCTCTAAATTGGAGAGACATCAATTTGATGGATGGACCACTCGGTGGATAAAGAACTGGCTGCAGAGAGCTTAAGTATTGTGGTGTAACTATGGAGTTAAGTCTTCTACCCATACAATGTATGCAAGGCACGGGTGTAAATCCCCGCAGAAGAACCATGGAAGCTATGTCCAAAGGAGTAGAAAAGACATGCCATTTAATGATCCACTGGGATTTGCCAACATATTTTTGTGTTATAATTTCAGATACAGAATTTAATCCAGAAATGTCTATTCACATACTGTCACAACTTGTTCTTTGCCCAAAAATCCCTATTACATACAGTCGTATGAACATCTATGCATGTCTAGATATAGACATACAGACATACACTCAGCAAAGGTGAAACTGATACTATGTTTTGGTGTGTTACCTTCCCTTATAATCTTCCTTCTGCAATGATTTACAGTTAACTGATGAAAAGTGCTTTAGAAGAACCAAATATCAATAATGTTGAGGTTTGTGTGGACAGATGCACCTTTTGCATCTTCAAGTGATGATATGTATTGGTAATAATAAGTATTCTCTGGTACAGTACAGACCCAGCCAGCAGAAAGCTTGTAAACTGGTGTCAGATATTAAGTGAAAAGTTGTTTTATGTTTCCCACAGGAAGATGTAATATGGATGGCACCATAAAATTTATATGTAAATATGTAAAATTATTTAATTACATTACTTGAAATTTTATAAAAATATCAACCTAAGATATGCAGGGATGGCAAATGTCTTCTTTTTTTTTCTTTTTTTTTCTTTTTTTCCTGGCAAAGCTACAAGCAGCAGCAAACAGTACCTTGTGCAGAGAAATGAAAACAAAACAGCTATTGATAGCAATCCCTATTATTCCCCAGTATTGACCGTACAAATGAACAAGAGACATCCCAGCACAGATCTATCATGTCTGGTTTCATTTTACTCACGAAACAAACAAAAAGTCTGTTGTGTAAACGTGTGACATATTGGTTGAAAATGGCAGCTGAGTTAGTATTTGGCATAGTTGAAGAGGGAAAGACAGGAGTGAAAGTTTTACGTGACTTGGAATTTCTTGTGTTTCAAGCACAAAACAGAGCTCTTTTTGATTTGTGCTTAATGGAAACTATGGTAGCTAACAGATGTTATGATGCCTGCAGAAAACAACAAATAATGATCACCAGCCAAGGAAACTGTTATCCTCTGAAATTAAAAAGGATACTGCAGTTGCTCATTTCCTACAACCTTGTATTTACTCAAATCACATCTAATAAATGGGGATAAGCCATACACTTGCAGACCACAACAGAGAAAGATATCAGGGTCAATAAAGGCCAAAATGAGGTGTCCCAAGAACCCTGTAACCTTATCTCATGATTAAGTACACAGAAAAAAGTAGTGTTTTAGATGCCAAATACAAGTAAGGAAATATATTTTCTTGGAAGAATCAATACAAATGAAGTTAGAGAAATTTTCATGTTATTTTTCTTAGGAAAAGGAGGATTTCCAGCCAAGGGGGGAAAAAAAAAAATAAAAAGAAATTTAGGAGAGTCAGGTTAAAGGGGAAATTATGTAAAAGCATATTCATTCTTTGCTTTGACTAACTTTAATCAAATGCAAGAAAATCATTAATGGATGTTGAAATGCTAGTCCAAAAAAAAAAAATCTAATGTATATTATTAAATAGTATTATTACATCCTTCTTTCAGGTGGTAAAAATGATGATTGTGGTTGTGCTGACATTTGCCATCTGCTGGCTGCCGTACCACATTTACTTCATAGTTACTGGGATCTACCAACAATTAAATCGGTGGAAATACATTCAGCAAATCTATTTGGCCAGCTTTTGGCTCGCCATGAGCTCTACAATGTACAATCCCATTATCTACTGCTGTCTTAATAAGAGGTAAGAGCTGGTTATGAAAGAGTTGGTATGCATAACTTCAACGAGCATATAAATGGTTTAAATGGGATAAAAGACAAAAAAATTTCACTTGAGTAATTTTCAGTTAGTGGGAAAGAAAACAAAGCACAAAAAAAAACCCTTTCCTTTAGAGTTGTACTTGAAATCAACCCCAAGAACCAAATGTCCAGTTCCAGTAGTTATGTTAGTCTAATTTCAGAGCAAAACTCAGCATTCAGAATCCAACCCTTCCTGTTTCTATATGCAAAATTTAAAATTTATAGCAGTTTAATATTTTTTTTGCTTGCAAAGCACTAAAATAAATAAGTAAAGACAACCATTAGTGATATACAGTGGAATCTGTATGTTCACTAACTAATGGTAGCCACAGATTTGTTTTGCAGTACTGGAAGGATATAATATAAAATGTGGTTTACTGTGTATTGTAATGCTTCACCACTAGATATCTACCAAGCTCTGAGGTCTGTAACAGGCTACTAAAACAAATATTACTTCATACTGAATTACAGTATAGCAACACATTTTGCTCTGAATTTCAAAGGCATTGCTGTTGAGTTTGGTGAGATATTTGGCGGTTTGAGACTATTGGATTGCAGAATGAACTCATGCTTTTGATTTCAGCTTGTAGGACCGGGATCTAAACAAATGTCATCCTAGCCATATTATTTTTCAGTATTACTTCTCATAATGGAGTCAGTATGAATCAGTATTGAATAAGTAATTTAAACATTATTAGAAATCTCTTTTGAATGAACAGCCAGTGTCAAGTTTAATTGCTGACAAGTTTTACACCAATTTTGTTGAATATTTATAAAACCCCACTAAGGATCATGCAATACCTGTGAAAAGGAGTCTAACTGAAAATGAAGTGACCAAATGATGGCAAGCTTTTATTGACGGAAAAACACTGGATTTTGCTTCCTTGATTAGAATAGCTTATGATGCCTAACATTCATTGTCTTTCAAAATGTCAAGGTAATGCTCTATTTCATACAATCTTCTTCCCCTTTTGATGATTACAACTGTTTAAAGAAGGTGTAAAGTTCTAGTATTCCAGAACAATACCCTAACTCAAATGGCAAATTTCCTATTAATTTCAACAGAAACCAGAATTCTCTGGATGTCCAATGTCTGCAAAATCAAAGACGAGGAAAGATCATGCCTCATATTTTATCATTTACTACCATAAAACCTCTAAAACGCTGCCATTTTCTTCAAAAACTTTTTATGCAGAGTCACAAAAGATGTTATTCAGAAAATGTTAATGTCTCATATGGCTTGTATTGACACTCGTACTTTAGTACAACCAGTGTTTAAGTGCAAAACTAAACATCTGGATGAAAGAATATAATCAACAAACATTTCATAATTTTGAGACACATTAAAGGTCATCTTGTACAGAATGTAATGCAAGGAGGAAATACTGGTGAAAGTTTTCTTATACTTATGCTCAATATTTAAATCAAGAAGCCAGAATGTCTGCCTCCCATTCATGCAGCAGGAAAATACAGCCTGTTGTTGGAGTCAGATCAATTCATGCAGTATTGTTACCTCTACTGGATCTAATATGAGATGGAGTTACACCACCTATCCCCAGCCTCATCTTCCAGGGGTTATGTGTCTTCCAGGCTTATATATCTAGATATATCAAGATGAAGAAAAAACATGCCCTGAATAAGAAAGAGAAGGTGAGACAAAAAATAATACAGCCTAAAGATATTTAGGTTTTACAGTCTCCTTCACTAATAAACCCATTTCCATCAGAGGTTCTTTCAGTATTTTTTTCAAATTCTGTAATTCCATCTGAACAGAGAAACCCTAAATAGCAAGTTACCTGCTCATTTGTCACCATATGACAGCTCTGTGACAAACCTGAGAAAAATGAAGAGGAAGAAAGTTATTTCTGTGAGACAATTCAACTTTCACTGAAAACAATCTGAATTTTTTATCTGTAGTCATCACTGTGGTAGCTTTACCATTGCTCCAAAAAGCTTATAGGCCCAATAAACGACACGGCTGATCATTGAAACAGAAACGAGAGAAGCAAGACAAAGTGAAAAAGTCTGGTAAGTTTTAGGTCTAGGTGAAAAGGTGCTCTTTTGAAGGTTACATATAAATATACAGCTAATTGCTTACCTAACATTTAACTTCTATTCTGGAAATGCATACACACAAAAAGTAGCAGTAGTCCTTATAGTAAATCTGTCCCTCTGAACTGAAATAACATTATACACTTCTGAACATTGCAAGCATTAATATGCTAAAGCCTCTAAATTCCCATTTATGCATTGTTCATGTTCAGTTTTCAACTTTCTAGGATCTTCTTTTGTTATTACAAATAATTTTCAAATATGTGATATGAACAATTAGTCATTACATTATTCCCATTTAAGCATCTCTGTTAGAAAGGGAAACACAGAAGGGACATCGGAATCTGGAAGCTGGGATGGTATTTTACAGAAAAGAATGCTATAAAGGTTCTTGCTGAAAGAAGATGAAAATATAGGTGCAGATTTCTTCACAGCTCAAACCAAAATAATTTCTGTGAAGACAGTGCTGTGAAAGCTGGTGTTTGCTTATTCAGGCACAGGCAAAGGAAGGGAAATTGAGTACAAAGAAAACACCAATGTTAAAATGTAGGGAAAATATATTGAAAATCCAAAACAGAAATGAGCTGTTACCAGTAGCTTCTTTTTACCTTACTCAGACTTTAGTCAAGGAAACTCCCACTAAGTTCACCACTAAGAGGATTAGGCACAAGATAATCAGCCAAGTCAGTGTCCTGTCAGCACAATATATATTTTGAGGTGAAGGCCTGTGGCTGGCTCACAACACAGGCTTTCACCAAACATCTTTCCTTCCAGGTTCCGAGCTGGCTTCAAACAAGCTTTCCGTTGGTGCCCCTTCATCGAGATGTCCAGCTATGACGAGCTAGAGCTCAAAGCAGCTAGATTTCATCCCACTCGGCAAAGTAGCCTATATGCTGTGTCCAGAATGGAGTCCAGCATGACAGTGGTGTTGGACACTAGTGACGGAGACAACACCCACGCCAGCCGTAAGAAAAGAGCAGCTCCAAAGGACACCAGTTTCAATGGCTGCTCACGGAAGAATTCCAAAACTGTCTCCACAGCCTCAAGTCTCATCAGTTCACTGCACACATCAGCAGATGATTATTCCTGAGCATTTCATGGTGACAGCTGCTAGAAGGGCAGCACTGGACAATGCTTTCCTACTTTGGGACTAGATATTCATGCCACAGGAAAGCAAACATAATTCCACTGACAAAACCTAGCTATAAATACAGCGAGACTTTTAAGCATCACTTTTCTGCTTTGGAGAGAAGGAGGAACTTGAAGACATATGTATGCTTCAGTTTGAAAGCACACGCTTAATACACAGCAATGTTGGTAGCAATTATCTGAAACAAGCCAATGGCATAAAATACATTGTTTCAGCTGTATCTGACCTGTGGTATTTATGTTTCTCTTACTGCAATGTAACAGACTCCTTATTAAAGCTGAAATGCATCGTGGTTTCTACTATGAGTTTATTAATCCCACACAAAATTACACGAGATCTGATACAATATTTCTTTATAATGAAGACATAATGAGCCCCAAGTCTATTTTTCTGTTTGTTTGTTTGTTTTATAATTAAGCCCTATTCCCAGGCAAATAAACAAAAGGGCATTCACGTGAATGAAGTTCAGCTCTGTCTGCAACAGGAAAATTTTTCAACTATAGATGAAAAATATTTTTTTTAAAAGCAGAAAATCTCCAAGGGACTAAGTTAAATTCTACCCAAGTTTCTATATTAGTGAACATTAGATTCCAATGGTAGGTGTGTTTCCAGGAGGATTCATTGCTTAGATGAACGTCTTGTATCTTAGTGATAAGTTGTTTAAGTACTAAAAACTTTCTCTAATGACCCTAACTGGACCTTTGTGATTGACTTTAGAAAGGACAAAAGATTTTAAACTGGAGATTCACATACAAGAAAAATACCACTGTGGCAATAAGCTCTTCTCTGCAGAAGATACATAACATATCTCACTATGAAACACCTCTACCAGTAAAAAAATATATGGGTTGTTTTCCAAAATTTTCCATGTAAATGTATCTTCTGCCTGCATCTGAAAATATGTTAGGCGTTATTACACAGACACTTCCCCACCTGATTCAGAGAAAATCCACTATCACTGTTGCAAAGAAAGCTGATTTTACTACAAAAGTGACCAGAGAGCAGCCTTTGTTTCAGATAAATGGCTATGTCAGTTGCATCAATCAGCTGGTTGTTTGAATGCTTGTTCTCAAACAGTTAATCAAACCTGGAGCAAAAGAGTGTCTTCCCAAGATGGCCAGACAAGCACAGAGGAGTGTATACCTGACTCAATCCAAGACAGTATCAAAGCTGAGCAACTAACAAAGAAGTTTGAAGAGAGAAAGGCTTGAACTGGGTTTAGCTCACTTTCTTTCCCAGCAACTGGGAATGCCCAGCATTGTGAGCATATGTTATGAGACTAGTAACAAGAATCATGTTTGTATTGTGATTCATCTGTATAGTCAATTGCTATATTCTGCTAAGTATCATTTGAATTTGTACCGTGATTTCAGTGCCTTGCTGTATCACTCGGCTATATCAAAATCCTGTGTAAGACGAAACATCCTCAAATAAGTAAATCTAGTACTTAACATTGAACTCTCCATGCGTGAAATAACTGAAGAACCTGGTCATAGAGTACTGTACTCTGATAAAAACGTATCATGATTCTAGACTCACAGTTTTCCTATCCAAGGCCTGATCTTAAATCCTCTGAAGCAAAGAGCTGTGTTCATTAATGGCTTTCCTTTTAAATTTAAAATCTTCACAGGTGTTTAACAACTCTGCTGAGAAGATTCAGGATAGCCACACACAAAAAAAATAATGAACCCAGGCATATTAACCTGATGGTGATGTATTACAAACATGTGCTGTAAATTCCTCTGTCTGCTCATGTACAACTTTTGAGGAACATGTATGTATAGTTGTTATATAAACTGTCTTTTCTAACTATGGCTGTTACAAAATCAATGTTGATAAACGCCAATACATGGATGCATGTTTGAACAAGATGGTTGTAGTGAGATGAAGTTATTGTTTCTAAATGTAGAGCATGACTCTTTAAAAGTTTTATATAAAAATATATATCACAAATATACAAAACATGCTTGTTTTGTATATACAAAACATGATACTTGGTTGACAAATATTGAGGAACCAATAGTGGCTTCTTCACACCTATGCCTTTAATTAGTGAAACAATTTCACTTTACTAAGTATTTTAGGATATATTTGGGAAATAAGCAGGAGGAGTTAGAAACCTGTGTTAAGTCAGGAGATTATGACCTGGTGGCAATTACAGAGACCTGGTGGGACAGCTCACATGACTGGAATATAGTCATGGAGGGCTATGTCCTTTTCAGGAAAGACAGGCCACCCAGGAAGGGTGGTGGGGTTGCTCTCTATGTGCGGGAGCAACTACAATGCGCCGAGTTCTGTCCAGGGACAGATGACGAACGAGTTGAGAGTCTGTGGGTGAGAATTAAGGGGCAGGCTGGCAGGGGGGATACTGTTGTAGGTGTCTGTTACAGACCACCAGATCAGGGTGAGGAAGTTGACGAGGCCTTCTACAGGCAGCTGAGAGCGGCCTCACAGTCACAGGCCGTGGTCGTCGTGGGGGATTTTAACTTCCCTGATGTTTGCTGGAAGGACCACTCGGCAACCCAGCCACAGTCCAGGAGGTTCCCCCAGTGTATGGATGATAACTTCCTCTTGCAAATGGTGGATGAGCCGACCAGGAGAAGAGTGCTGCTGGATCTCATCCTCACTAACAAGGAGGGTCTGGTCGAAGCAGTAAGGGTTGAGGGCTGCCTTGGTTGCAGCGACCACGAGATGGTGGAATTCAGGATCTTGTGTGGTAGGACCAGTAGAATAGCAAGTAGAATTGCAACCCTGGACTTTAGCAGGGCAAACTTTGGCCTTTTCAAGCAATTGCTAGGGGAAATCCCATGGGCAGGGCTGCTTGAAGGTAAAGGGGCCCAAGATAGTTGGTTGACATTCAAGGATTGCTTTTTCCAAGCTCAAGATCAGAACATCCCGACACATAGGAAGTCAAGGAAGAGGGCCAGGAGACCTGCGTGGCTAAATAGGGAATTGCTGGGTATGCTCAAGTGGAAGAGGAGAGTTTACAGGTCATGGAAGGAGGGGCTGGCCACCTGGGAGGAATATAAGGCTGCTGCTAGAGGATGTAGGAAGGCAGCTAGGATGACTAAGGCCTCCTTAGAATTAAACCTGGCGAAAAGAGTAAGGACAGCAAAAAGAGCTTTTTCAAATACATGGCAGACAAAACTAACACCAGAGGCAATGTAGGCCCACTGATGAACGGGACGGGTGCCCTGGTGACAGAAGATACAGAGATGGCAGAGATACTGAATGCCTTCTTTGTCTCTGTCTACTCTGCTGCAGGCAGTCCTGAAGAGCCCTGTACCCCTGAGACCTTAGATGAAGTCAGGTCAATGGAGCAGTTTGCCTTAGTCAATGAGGAATGGGTTAGAGACCAGTTGAGCAATCTGGACATCCATAAATCCATGGGTCCAGATGGGATGCACCCGCGGGTGCTGAGGGAACTGGCGGAAGTCATCGCTAGACCACTCTCCATCATCTTTACCAAGTCTTGGGAAACGGGAGAGGTGCCTGAGGACTGGAGGAAAGCAAATGTCACTCCAGTCTTCAAAAAGGGCAAGAAGGAGGACCCGGGTAACTATAGACCGGTCAGCCTCACCTCCATCCCTGGGAGAGTGATGGAACACCTTATCCTTGGTACCATCTTAAGGCATATCAAGGATAAGAGGGTTATGAGGGTCAGTCAACATGGCTTCACCAAGGGGAAATCATGTTTGACCAATCTCTTAGCCTTTTATGAGGAAATAACACGGTGGATGGATGATGGCAGAGCGGTGGATGTGGTCTACCTTGACCTCAGCAAAGCATTTGACACAGTCTCCCACAGCATCCTCACGGCTAAATTGAGGAAGTGTGGTCTGGATGATCAGGTAGTGAGGTGGACTGCGAACTGGCTGAAGGAGAGAAGCCAGAGAGTTGTAGTCTATGGGGCTGAGTCTAGTTGGAGGCCTGTAACTAGTGGAGTGCCTCAAGGGTCAGTACTGGGACCGGTATTATTTAATACATTCATCAACGATTTAGATGAGGGAATTGAGTGTACTATCAGCAAGTCTGCTGATGACACTAAGCTGGGAGGAGTGGCTGACACGCCAGAAGGCTGTGCTGCCATCCAGCGAGACCTGGACAGGCTGGAGAGTTGGGCAGGGAATAACTTGATGAAATATAACAAGGGAAAGTGTAGAGTCCTGCGTCTGGGCAGGAACAACCCCAGGTTCCAGTATAGGTTGGGGAACGACCTGTTAGAGAGCAGTGTAGGGGAGAGGGACCTGGGGGTCCTGGTGGATAGGATGACCATGAGCCAACACTGTGCCCTTGTGGCCAAGAAGGCCAATGGCACCCTGGGGTGTATTAGAAGGGCGGTGGTTAGTAGATCGAGAGAGGTCCTCCTTCCCCTCTACTCTGCCCTGGTGAGACCGCATCTGGAGTATTGTGTCCAGTTCTGGCCCCTCAGTTCAAGAAGGACAGGGACCTGCTGGAGAGAGTCCAGCGCAGGGCAACTAAGATGGTGAAGGGAGTGGAGCATCTCCCTTATGAGGAAAGACTGAGGGAGCTGGGTCTCTATAGTTTGGAGAAGAGGAGACTGAGGGGTGACCTTATAAGTGTCTATAAATATATAAAGGGGGAGTGTCACGAGGATGGAGCCAGGCTCTACTCAGTGGCAAACAATGGTAGGACAAGGGGTAATGGATACAAACTGGAACACAAGAGGTTCCACTTAAACTTGAGAAGAAACTTCTTCTCAGTGAGGGTGACGGAACACTGGAACAGGCTGCCCAGGGAGGTTGTGGAGTCTCCTTCCCTGGAGACATTCAAAACCCGCCTGGACACATTCCTGTGTAACATTATCTAGGTGTTCCTGCTCCAGCAGGGGGATTGGACTAGATGATCTTTCGAGGTCCCTTCCAGTCTCTAGCATACTGTGATACTGTGTGTGATATTACCCCCTAGAGAAATAATCTACTGATAATCTCACCATATATTGTGGTGTAGTGGTTTCAAAAACACTCTTAACATTCCTGTTGTTCTCCTCTGAAGTTACAGGATATTCCTGTACAACGAATGAAGAAATCTGTGCTTTTAATCACAGCATTGATTTAGCAAAACATGATGATACATGGAGGAAATCCAACCCTCTGTCTCACCCTCAAAAAGCATGAGGGGTTACACAGTCAAACAAGTAACCTCTAAAATGCTTATCTGATGAAAAGACTTCATTGCTCCCTGAACTGCCATTTTGCTATGATGTTCCCTTGATATAGGTCGGAAAGGTTTAACTTTCACGTCTCCACAGACAGGATGTTTAGTGTAAGTTTTTGCTGGCATTCCCCTGACATTGGCTAAAGTTCCCCCCCCCCCCCCCCCCCAAAAAAAGGGGCTAAACATGACTACATTTAAACACAGGTATTCAAAAGATGGCTACATTTAAACACAGCAGTAAACAAGAACCTCCTATTTCACCAATATAAGTTTCAAAACACAGATCTTCAAAACTCACTTAATTAATAGAGATTTATAACACCTTTGTCTCAAGTCTTCCATATAAAAGCATGATGTTGAGAGGAAAACTGAACTCGGAGCTTGGAGTAAGCTCAGGATGCTCATACAAGATTCAGTCAGTAGGTTGCAGCCTGTAGCTACTTGGCAGGGATCCCTTCACAGCCTCCCTTCCAGTGCAAGTCTTATTATCAAGGTTGTGAGGCACTGGCAGAACTGCATGGCATGAGCTACTTGTGGCATTTTTATGTCTGGTAACTAAATGTGACAATTGAGGTAGGGCATTGACCAATACTAATATACATTTGCAAAAATAACA